AAATTGAACTATAAAAGAAGCATAAACACCTTTTTTACAATTCATTATTTTTGTTTTCTAAAAGTTTCGTTTACGCTTCTGTTACATTCTTCTTTTACGCTCCGATTTTTACTTTCGACAGGGAATTAAAAGTAATATAACACCAATATTACAATTTCGCGCTCATCGATGTAACTATTATGTAACGTCATGTGACATATTACATTTATATTGTTGAGTGCGAAATTATAACATTGACGTTACGATATTTTTAGTCTGCGTGTCTCGAGACTGGGAGGATTTCCAAATTCTCAAGTTACCCCCATAAAATATTAGCCAAACAACTGTTAATTTGATGTTCTTATTCTTACAATTGCGTGAAGATATTGAAGAACACGATGGCATACATAAATAACAGCGCGGCAAGACTGCTATAATTGTACCTGTTGAATTTGATCGTGATCGCGCACCAGCTTGTGAACTACCGGTAGATTCTTTTTCCTCATGGCTGACACGACCAGGAGTAACCAATCTTTCGCAAACACGTTTAACTAATCAGTAAACAGCACGGACACTATCGATCACCTTACGAATTATCGATCATCAGCCGCGTAGATCGTCCCGGCCTCTATTATATCGTCCATCCGCGATCTCGTTATCAACGCGATCCCGATCATCGAGCACGATCGTATTCACCGCTATGAGCAACCGAGCGGAACAAAGCGCGCCGGGAGTTTCTTCACTTCGATTTCCTCTTCTGCTTCTCTCAATCTTCTTCCACTTTTGCGTTCGCGCCCCACCCTGCCTACTCAGCGACGTATCGATACGATAACAATAACGCGTCCGCGTTTATTCGAGCGAGGCTCGGAGAAGCGAGGACGCCGTTCCAGATCGGCGGCGAGGGAAACGGAGGAGGAGGAGGAGGAGGAGGAGGAGGATTGAAGCGAAACACGACGAAGATGAGGAAAAAGCGGATTGACACGAGGGAGGAACGTCAGGAACAAGAAGAGAAAACGTCCGGATGCGCGCCGGGACGAAACGACGAGGCGTGAGTAAGCTCACGGGAGGAAATTAATTCGTGGAAAGAGAGGAAGACGAGGAGGGAGAAGCCAGGCATCGGAAAAGAAAGAGAAGAAGAGGAGGGCCACGGGACGAGAGAGAGCGTCGAGAGGTGGTGATGAGATGTGCCTGTGTTTCCACCACAGAAACGGATGACTTGCCCGGCGAAAGAGGAGATCGACGCGTACAGAGGGTTGGCGAAGAGTAATAGTAGTAGTAAGGAGGAGGAGGAGGAGGAGGAGGAGGAGGAGAAAGAGGAGAGGAAGAAGAGGAGAATGAAGAAGAACCGAGAGATCGCGTGGAGCGCGGCAAGAGGGCACGATGAGAGCAGGAATGAAATCTTCGAGCGGCGTAGAACGGATGTAGGGAGGTGTTTTTATGAAAGGCAAGCAGTGTGCGTTGACGTCAATTATATAGGTGGTCACGGAGAGCAGATAGCCGTCCGATGCGCACGGACTCCAGCGTACGTATGTGAGAGGTCTTCTCCTTAATGGGTTAGGTTTAGGTCGCCGGAGAGGTTATCGGGTCTCTCTCACTCTGTTTCTCCGTCTCCTTCTCGCGCAGGGATTTTCAAAGTAGATAAGTCTGAGGAGATCGGCGACCGGGGCGGGGGCGGGAGGGGGGAAGGGAGGACCGCGAACGTTTCAGTTTTCTCGTTTGCTCGCGAGACATGTGGCAGAGGTAGAGGGAGGGAACACGATGGAGAGCGCGCGACGGAGTGTTCGCCAACTGCGGAACCCAGTGACGGAACCAGCTGGGAGAAGAGGGAGGAAAAGGGGAGCGGGGGGAGGGGGGGGGGGAAGGTGAGGATTAGGTGATCGCCAAGCAGCGCGGAATTGGATGGCTCCGGCTACCGTCTCCACCACGCGTTTTTGTCGCGCGAAACGCCAAAGCGATCGATACACCGTTTCACCCGCCTTTTCGCTTTTCGCTATCATCGTTAAGGTCAACGAACCCGATGCGCAGGCTATTAGGCGACGAACATTCGCCGAATCATCGAAATCATTATTTGAACCTTGAGATTAGACGAGCGCGTGACGTCAACACGAGTATCGTTTTCTACGAGTGTCGATGATGCGCGAGGTGAGATTTAGAGACGATTTTTCTGAATGAATTTTCAATGAAGAATCAATCCGATTCTTACACCGACGGACCGAAACTCTCTCGACCGTGACTCTTTCGGCGGCGGCACTTTCGGACAGCCGGCGACTGTCCGCCTCTCGCTGATGTAACGTACCGTGAAATTTACGGATACGCGAGACTAATCGCGCGACGTCGGCGTGTTCGCCTCGGTGCGTGAAAGCGCGCGTCAGTATCGCGACGCATAAAAGTCCGCGGCCTTTTTTTTCTTTTCTTTCTCTCTTTTTTTTTTTCTCTCCTTTTCCTTTCCACTCCCGCGCCACCTCCTTCGCGCCGCTGCTGCTTCCAAGAATATTTTCAGTGTCTCCCATCGCGCACACGCGCGAGGCGTTTTTCACGAGGTCGAAGGCTGCTTACGCCGCCGGCGGGCCTCCGTGGTGCGCGCGTTCCGTATGCGTGAGTTGCATCAGAGAGTGGGAGAGGTGCGCGACCCACGGGTTATCACTGGCCTCTCTCGGCCGGTACCTATATCACAATCCTAGCTTCTCCGTCCACGTATATCTCGCTGCCGTTGGCGTTACACACAGGAGCTCGAATTTTCACGCACGATAATACTACGTAGCGTGGCTAGAACGCGTTCGTTCCCATTATTTCAAATCCCGCACCTCCGAACGCTGATCCTCTTTTCCTTTTCATTTTTTTTTTCTCTTCTATCTTTACGATTTAAGATCTTTCATTAAGATCGCGCGATCTCTTTCCCCGCGATATATTCGTCGCCTTATTCCTATAATTTCTGCTCATTCAATTATTTTCCAATTATTTAATTTTTTCATACATATCCATTATCAAAACTGAATAGTGAATAATATTAAATAAATGACAAGTTAAACACAGATGCGGTTAAAACATTCATTCCAGTATAATGAGAGCGTAAAGGAATAAAATTCAAATGCATAAAGTGATATGTGTAAGTGCATTAAAAGTACAATTACAAACGTAGTCCCTCATACGAAGATAACGGTCGATCGAAATACCAGAAAATTACTAAAGTTCATACGTTATTCGTACACGCGTTTGCTGCATGATACACATCGCCGCCACATGTTCGTGAATAAAACAGTGGCACTAGGAACAAACAATGAAGATAATGCTAGGCTTTTTATGACTTGAAACTTTTACCAATTCGTTTATTTATGTAGTATTTGATCGTATCTTATATTAGTATTTGGTAATACGAATCCTCTGTATTATCTGCTGGTTTTTTTTTTTTTCGTAGAAAATACACTTACGTGACCTTGAATTTTATTTGGATTTCGATACCGCAGCAAGTAATTAATCTCCTCTTATAATTCCACTCTCACACAGATTTATATTTATTGCGGTAAGTTATCGCTTTGCATATTTCAGTTTATGATTCATAAGCGCATCGCGCAAACATCCGCGAGTTGTCATCTAAAAATCGCTTGATTAATGAATCCGGTCGTCAACGAGAGCGCCCGAAGGTTGTGCACGTGTAGCATTTAACGCTCAGTCACGCGCGATATTTAAAAAAGAAATGTCCGTGAAGAAAACACGTGTGCGATCTTCATCGGGGACGATAACAAAAGAGAGTTTTAAATCGATCGACAATACATTTCGGTATCCCCTGTCGTGTCGTGGCAGAGACGCGAGCGTGAGTTGCGACACGTAATTACTAAGCCAAGCTGATGATGTCGAAATGTCTATTTGCCAGAGAGGAACTTTGTCGCTCGCGATAAGTGTGTCCTTCCTCCCCTTCGCACGTGATTATTACTCACCGTTGCGGCCGGAAGAGTTGGCATGGGCTGCGAAACCGGCTCCATCCCGAGTCTCATACGTTTCGCGTTGTCGCTCTCGTTCTCGCAAGCCGTTGCCAAAATCTGCTCGGCCTGCACGGAGGTCAAGTGTGCAGGCGTGGGTCTAGCCTGAAAAGAAATGCACACGTCACATCCGCGACCGTCTTCGCCGCATGCCGAACTCAATTCACGCCATGAGCGGACAACTCGAGTTTCCGTCTTCCAACTTCAATCGATCACTGAGAAAAATGTTCGATTGAGTTAAATAGAATTTTTGGTTATCTCTCAACTAGAATTCCAATAAATTTAACTAGAAAATTTTTATTCGCCCATTTTTTTTTTCAAAGAAAAACTTTTTTCTTAGCGTGAGAAAAATGTCTGGTTGGCTTTCTGGTTAGCTAAATTGGAATTCTGGTTGAAAATTACGAGTCAGAATTTTTTCATTAAACCTACTAGAATTCTAGTTGAGGCAACTGGAATTCTAGTTGATATAATCAGAATCATCTTCCGGTACGTTTCCACTTTCAACCAGACATTTTTCTCAGTGATGAAACAGCAAATCCCACAATCCATCCAATAATCTCGAAAAATCCGCGATTTTAAAATTACTTTGAATTTAAAGGTACGTCAGAGCTTGAGAAAACTTGGAAGCTAATTGGGTTGTGCCGTCTTACGACCAACTATATAAACGCGATAGTAAAAAAAACTTACGGCATCCCAAGGGCCCTCCCTGCCACGCTTGTTTCTCCGGCAGCTCTTCAGGTACGTACGGATCCTTTTCCTGGCCCTTTCAGCAAACTCGGGAAACTGTCTCGTGCAGCTATCGATGATCGCTTGTATCTTCTCCTTCGGCTGCTTCGAGATCGGCACGATGCGATCCAGGTTCTCGTCGACGAAAAGTCTCACGAACATCTGCCGCGAGACACAACACGATGGCCGTGTTAGTGAAGTGAATTAAACGGAAGCTGGTATACGCGAGTCTCGCTAACCGCTCGAAGAATTAAGAATTTTGTGGTGGGGTGGGGGGTACAACACCGGGACTCTATTAAACTAATTGTAATTAATTAAGGAGCTAGCGTAACAGCGGCGACCGCCGCGAAACTACAACCGCTTGGCTTTCACGCGCGGGGAAAACGGGCAAAAAAAAAAAAAGAGATATACGAGAAACGGGACATGAGGGGGAAAAACTTCGAGAGAACGCCGGCATGCTCTGTTCCCCGGCGAGTCGGCTCTCTGCCGCAAAGCTGTTCGTAAAACTTTACGATAATTAGGGTTTTTCGGAAAGGTCCGACGCGCCGCCAAAATATGCTGACGGCCCGAGCTTCGTTTTCTTCTCCCTTTTCCCATCCAAGGCGCGAACGACGCTTTTCTTGCAACGATAGCTGCATAAAGCAACCAGTTGACCGCCATTGTGTGAACCGTAATTCGATTATCCGTACGCATTTTAATTCATCGAGTGCAGGATAATGAGAGTAATAATTATCGCTAAAATTCCGCCGGTAACGAGTGAGACTTTTAAGGGCACAGTCGATTTTTCGATTGTGAATTCTGACAGATATATTGAAATTTGTAAAAAAATAAGTAAAACGCAACCCGATTTCTGTAATAGTAGAAAACTCGTTAAAGCTTTCGTCAGTATGAAGAATTTCTTTCAGATTTCTATACAATTCGGAACAATATAAAAATCTGCAGGAAAGTTCCAGGAGATCCAGGTTGCTGACAAAAAGTAAAAAAAATTACGCACGTTGCAACGGGGGAGAGCTAATTACTTTCTAAAGCTCCAATTCAAGATATATATATTCCCTAGATATATCTTTAACATTTTTCAAACAACAAATTGATATGAAGTACCACGCGATTGGAGTACGCCGCGTATGCTTACGTTGAATGCCTTGAGACGTTCTGGATCGTGGTGTCTTGGATCCAGTCCCTCGTCCGCGTCTATATCATCATCGTCCTCGTCTTCCTTATTGCCACTACTGCTGGTTTCATCGTGGGCGCTTCCCGTCCCCTCGCCACCAGGCGGACTGGACTCTCGATCGCGATCCGACCGCGAGGGCGTTGCCGCCGATGCTGGTGGCGGCGTTTTCTTGAAGCCCATAGCGTAGGATGCCCACAAGGAAGCCATGTCTTCGCCACCTACAGCGCCCGCGACAGCGCTTAGATTTGGAACGGTTCCCGTTGGCATATCCACCAGTTCTGACGAGCCGTTTCGGGAATCTGCGAAAGTAAACATTTTCTAACGGTTCAGGACACTCCCGGGACGCGGAAGTGCGGAGTCGAGATTTTTGCGACTCTCATCAATCGACGCGGAAATTGGTATAGGTATAATTAACGTTTTAATAACGGTAATGATAATAATTAATTATTGTTATTTAAATGTCATTTGAAATGGATATTATTAGTATTATTAGCATCAATAATGATCGTAATATGAACAATGGTATTTTTAATAATTACTACTAATTAATAACGCAAATTTGGTGATAGAAACACTTTGCATTCGCGATCGGTAATTATCTAGTAAAAGGGGAAACTTCCATCGGCGATACCAGGAAAATAATAATGTTCCCGTTGAACGCTCGCTGTACCGCGATGATTAGATCGCCACTTCGCGCTGTTTCGATTTATGAATAGAGAACGTTGCAGTTGGAGCAAAAGAAGGGAATATTTTTTCCCTTCCCACGCCGTGGCCAGGTTAGGAGTCGGTCGTATGCGGCTGACTAGATACGTGACTAGTAGCGCGCGCGCGCGAGAGAGAGAGAGAGAGAGAGAGAGAGAGAGAGAGAGAGAGAGAGATGAGCATGTGGGTGGTATATTTCTCCCGTGAATATAATAAGGATAAATGCGGTGTACGTTCGGCTCGCGTGACGATACTGATTAGGGATGATCGATCAACGGAGGGTAGCATTTCCTAAACGACTCCCTAGCCTTGTGCTACCCGCATGCATGTTATTGTCGATATCAACTGTTGAATTTCGGTATGTGAATTCAATCGTGAATTCGATAACGGTCTCAACCGTCGCTGGGCTTTTTTTCAGCGGTTTTTCGCTGTTTAACGATATATTACAGATTGGACACGTGATAAATAATTATTACATAATAAAGTCGGCGAGAAATTTCGGATAAATACTCAAATGTTGACAGTTAAGTGTCGACTTTCTTCATTAAGTAACCTTGCTCGACATACTTCACTCTTTGAATCACAGTCTCACAATCAGTTGTGATACAAGTGCAATATGTATTATATATATCTGAAGAATATAATTAAAGAGTTTGTAACCTTGACACCGAACTTTTTCTGATCGGTTACTTGTACTCGTATATGATATGTATTCAGTTACTAAATAGATTACAGTTATAATCAGAATGAATTTTGCCCTGCTAAAATCCTTGCGAAAAAGCCTTAGGGATATTAAAATTGACACGAAATCAACGCATTGGCAAATCTGCGAGACGGACAAAATTGTGTTGGAACCTTTCTATACAGAGGACAGAATGAAACTTGGTATATCACTTGTGTGTCGACGACAGTGAAAGACTTGGACCGTCATTCGGCCGGCTGCGTTGTATAGATCGTGTTTCTTCTCTACAATAATAACGGCGATCCGTTCTCAAAAGCCGTAATAAGCCCCGATAGCGTGTGCAAGGTGTTAAAAGGCGGTGCGGTCTTCTACCGTCACGATCTCAGGAGAGAACGTACGGTAAAGGTGCTTTCACGAGGAGAGGATGTCGATGGGGACAGGTAGACGAGTCGTGGCCGCCGAGAGAGACTTCACGTACGAAGAAGTGTATGGATTGTCGACAGGGAGTGCCGCAGGGGGATCGTAAAGAGGCCAACGAGCCTTGCGGACCTCTTCCACCTGGGACTTCTCCTTGGTCTTCCGATTGAAAAAAAAAGGGACAGGTTTGCGGCTGCCATTTCGTACAATCACACGTCAACGACGGAGATGTCTGTACAAAGCCATCCGGCAACTTCGCAACTTAATTTTCTACACGCTACTCAAATTACTTTTCTCATAAATATGCATAACCCGCTATATATATATATGTATACTCCGATAAATATAAAATATAAAATATGTATTAAAAAGGAAATTTCAATTATACTTTAAAGATCCTCTTTACGATAGCCGAAACGTTATTCCTATCATTATTAGAGACCCTGTGACAAAGTCCAATTACGAACGATTTTATCAAATTCTATGAGAGAGAAAGTTATATACATAATTTCATTGAATATATGCCATCTCCTCTAACTTTGAGATTGTCTCGCTCTATAATTAATCTTAGCCCTATACCGCTAATGTTGGATCTTAAAAACCGTAGTCGAATTTTTTAATTGTGAATACAGGTAAGTAAATTTAAATCTATATGAAAAATAAGTAAAATACAATTTAACTCCTGTACGATAGTAAAAACTTGTTAAAGCTTTCACAAGCACGTAAGAATTTTTCCAGATTTTACAATTATTCGGAATAATATAAGCCGATATTTATAGTTGCTTCTCATATTTACGTCTAAAGTATAATCTTGAGGCGTCATAAGCCAACCACGGAATTGTTTAACATTTTAAGACATTACTTAAGACTATCTTAAATAAGCGTGGACGATGAATATCGGCTGTAAAAGTCTGCACTTAAGTTCGAAGAGTCAAATTGCGAACGAAGATTGAAAATTTCCCATTGCCGACGAAGGGTTAACTAAGGTTACAGAGTGAGCCAAGTACAAGTTAAAGTAAGACACAGTATATACACATATACATATACACAAAGAGACAGTGTATAGTACATGTACTTTTCTCTCTTACAGAATTTTGATAAAAACCTCTCTCGTGGCCAAACAACACTCTATTGTAGGGCCTCTATTCATAATTAATATCTAGATCGAGAATTGGGCACGTTTAGAAATGCAAAATAAGAATGTCTCGAGACGAGACGATACACGGATACACGAGATATTATATTTGTTTTCTGATGACGCGGCCAGTCTCTCAACCGGGCGCGCGCGTACTTCTTTCAAATCTACTTCCTTCGCTGTGTGCGCGCGCGCGCGAAGTAATCTACATTCTGGAATCGAATCCTCTTCCGAGCGTAGCTTCCAAGACGCCACTCCGCCGTCGTGGCGAACGCGAGCTGCGAGGCAACGTCCTGGAACATTTGCATCGTCGAGGGGCAACTTTCTGCGGCCGGGCGCATCAGCTTCCTCCGCGCGAAAGACGCAAAAGTCTGCCTAGGCGCTCGAACGAGCGATCCTGATTCCTCCGACGTTGTTGCAACGATCGCGACGCATCTTTCTAGGAGGATTCCGGTAGAACCAGTAACTGAACGCGCGAGCGGACGACCTAGGAAACTGGACCCTCCGTCCAGGAGGCGTGCTGGCGGAGGCACCGTTTCTTTCCTCTTTTCTCTCTCTCTCTCTCTCTCCCTCTCTCCCTCTTCTCCCATCTTTCTCTTACTCTCGCGATCCCACTTGGAGGTTGCTGCACTTCGATTCTCACACGCACACGCGTGCGGTTACGGCGCGTAGGCTACGGAAAAAATACCACACGCTCACGTGTACGGTAATACGCGTATGTATACGTGAATACGTGCGGAGGTATGTGCGCAACGCTCTCCAAGAGGGTACGGCATCGCACGCAGCGAAGAGAGGGTACCCGGCCTGCGGCGATACCGGCGTAGATATCGCCGAAGAATAGTCGGAGAAGGCAGGGAACAGCGACGCGCGTAAGCCTTCGCTGGACGCGCGGCTAGACTGGCCGCACGGGCTAGAAAGCCGGTTGCCAATCCCAATCCCACACCAGCTAACATAAGCACCGTTCCCGAGCTCGCCTCTTGGCCGCTGGCCTGAACCTGAAACGAGTCGACGGCGGCGACGGCCCCACCCGGCAGTTCGTCCTCCTCCCGGTTTATTCCCTCGACCTCGCGTTTCCCGCAAAGGGAAACTAATACTCCGGCCCCTACGACCACACCAAGCACTTCCTCTTTTTCTAGGCAACTCGCCGTTGCGTTGCGTGTACTCGTCTGTACGCGAGCGAACCCAGCTTGGCGTTACAAAATCCTCAGACAAGCCACGTACGCCCACGGTACTTCGGACTAGGTATGAAACTGTCTACCGCTCGGGATGGTAACGTGTAATCGCGAGGATGGACGAAGACGTATTATCTTGCCCCTCATAAATGTCACTGACCATAGTAGAACGTTGCGCGTGACGGCATGTGCGTGCCCGTGGAAAGAG